AGAGGGAAGCCAGCCAGCCTCGATCGCCGCAGAAAAGGCCAAGCGTGGTCCGGGATCATTGATAATAATGTTTATTTCATGTAAAAATAAATTGTATTTCAAATATGCACACAGAGAAAGCGTTGCAGAAACGTCCACAGACAAGAAAGGGGAAACAAACCAAAAAGACAAAAGTACATGTACCACAGAAAACAGCAAGTACTGCCTCTCTCTCTCTAATTCTATTCGACTTCAAGGCGATAATTCTCCTCTCTAAATTGCATCCCTCTATAATTGCACCCTTCCTTTAATCTATTTGACAGAAGGCGTTAGTTATCCTTTCCAAGGGGCCCAGCATGGCCTGAAGGTCAGAGTGTTTGCTGGACTTTGCCACTGGGAGACCAGCATTCAAATCCCGCTCGGCCATGGAAACCCACTGGGTGACCTTGGGCAGGTCACACACTCTCAGCCTTAGAGGATGGCAAGCCCTCTCTGGGGAAGCTTGGCAAGAAAACCCTCTGGGTCTCCAAAATGACTTGAAGGCACACAGCAACCATTCTTTGCTAACACTGTCTGGGATCCTTTTGAGGTGGGAGCAGATCCCAGGACGGATACCTGCCTTCCCTGTCAGCAGCACGTGATCCCAGGTAAACAAGGAACCCGCAGGCCTACCGCCTCTTCAGGTGTCATGCCTGACAAAACAACAACAACAACAACAACAACAACAACATAGCCTTTTCTGATTTTCCAATACAGGTCAATAGGGGAAAAACTTATTGGATATTAAATAAACATTTGGTAGTGGGTCAAATTTGATATTCACATACTAAGTGCAGCAGCAGTATTGTGTGCCCCAACATTATACTGTCTATCTGGGCTTCTAGTAAATAAACAGGATACAAAGGTAAGGTAAAAATAAGACTTCCTCTGTTGTTATCAAGGTTCTAGAAAATAAGTACTGCAAGGATCCCTGGAGCTGACCCTCAGGTGAGAAGAAAAAGCATCTTCAGAGGAGCAGCCTCGAGGCTGCATCCATTTTGGAGGAAGGAAGGTGAGAAAGAGAGAGAGAGAGAGAGAGAGAGAGGAAAAGGAAAAGGAAAAGGAGAGGAGAGTTGTAAGATCTTAACCTTTAGTAAAGTGGAGGAGATAGGAAGCGACCTCTTCACAGTCGCACTGACCAAATGACCAGAGAGATGGCCAGCGCAGCTAAGAGGAAGGCAAGGCACCCCGTTTTCTCCTAAGCTTGGACACTATACTCCAAGAAGACTGTATTCCCAAATCTCAAGTTGAATTTGGGGTCAGATCGGGCCAGACTACTGGCTTCCTGGCCTTGCTCTGGGTGACCCCTTCCCCCCCCCCCCGGACACAGCGAGGGCCACAGGAGGACCCCCTGGCTCCCAAAGGGAGGGAACCCCCAACCAAGGTCCTGCCCCATGGACCTCCGGCTGGCTTCTGCTGGCATCTGGGGGTCTCCAAGGTCTGTGCCTTTGGGCCCCCCTCTCTTCCCTCCCCATGGCCCTGGGTCGGCGGAGTAGGGCTGCCGACAGAAGACACTGTCAGAAAGCAATGGGCTTTGTAGTCCCTGTGGAGACTCCGAAGAAGCCTTGAGAGGGTCTCTCCTGTCCTTGGCCGAGAGCAGCATTTCCTGGGTTGTCTCGGTTGGTCTGCAGGTCTTTGGAGATTGTGTTTCCTCACCAGTTTCCCTATTCTGCCCGTGGCCCCTTTGATGCATGTATGGGAAAGGAGTGCCTTCCCTTTGGGGTGATTGCTCCTCTTCAGCCCTCTGGGTCTTTCTGGGTCTCTGGGTTTTCCTTCTGACCTCTGAGCTGGAGCAGCCATCCTCCGCCTGCAGAGACCCATTGGACTAGGTCAGGGACAGGCAACCTTTTTTCCCCTTTAAGGGCCAAGGAGGGACTTCAGCTCCCAGAAGCCTCAGCCATGTTGGCCTCTAATAGCCTCTGGGATTCTGGGAGCTGAAGTCCCTCCTTGGCCCTTAAAGGGGAAAAAAGGTTGCCTGTCCCTGGTCTAGAATCGAGGCAGGCGCTTCAGTTCCTCTTCCAGGGAATGGGGTCCTTTTGGCGTGGTCCAGCAGTGTTTTTAGGGTGCTTCCCTTTTGTCCTGGGTGGTGGTTGGAGTCCTTGTGCCCTGGGTGTCCTGGTCATCCCATTGGGCCACACGGTTCATAGGAAGCCTGGACACATGGACAGATTCCTGCACAAGAACTCCAGCGTCTGCAATCCAATCTGTCTCCATCGCAGTGAGGCCACAGGCCTCTTGTGGCAAAGAACGGAGGATCCCATGTTTTGGCATCAGGAATATTTGGTGCATGCAGAGGTAAAACACTCAGCCCAAGTTTAAGAAGACGAAGAAAAATTGTTTTCTTCCGTTGAAGTAAATCCATGTTTTTTCTTCTTAAAGTTGGACTGAATTTGCATGCTTTACCTCAACACCTACCAAAATATTCCTGATGCAGACTTCTTGAGGGATCCATTGTTGTCTGGCACAAAGAGTCTTGTGGCCTCACTGCAATGGAGACAGATTGGATCGCAAACGTGCAAATGGACTTTAAATGTCCTGGACTTGGAAAATCTCCCTGCAGCCCCATCATGGCCAGAAGGAGGAGGATCCTGCCTCGAAAGAGATCCCTCCTCTCCACCGTAAGCCATCTTAACCAAAGACTGAAACCTCTTTGCTTTGTAACACATCTTGCCTGATGAAGAAAGAAAGAAGGAGCCATGGAGCTCCGAAGGCTCGCAACAGGTATAGTGTGCATTTCGCTTGGCCAATAAAGGTATCGCCGATGGAGTTTTGTTTGGATCCACGTTTCACGGGCCACAAATCTCCGCGGGTGGGACTCTCCGGTGGGTAGTCCGGGGCTTCTGTGCGACCCTCCCCTCCGGACAGGAGGCCTTGGAGGACAGCAGCCGGACCTTCCTCGACGGGAGTCCGTCCGCCTGAAGGCACCCCCCTCCCTCCCTCCCTCCCTCTGTGTCCCTCTTCAGGATGCCTTCTGGTGTGTCCGGCATTGCAAGAGCAAGAGCGAGAGCGATAGCAATAGCGATAGCAATAGCAATAGCAATAACAATAGCAGTAGCAAGAGCAAGAGCAAGAG